AATCTGGGATAACCTCATCCAGGTATGGGTATGATGCATTTGTTGGAGATTTTGGAGTATTTGGTTCTGACCCAAGGCATCATTCACATTTTTGTAGTTCATGAAATAATTACTGTGTTGCTATGTTCTTTGTTTTTTTTCCCCCCCCCATTTGATTTGATGAAGGATGGGCATTCAGTCTCCACTGTTGTTCATCAGTATGGCAGTCTCTAGATTTTGCAGTTGTATGTTTGCCTTTTTTCTTAATCAGGATATAAGACAGCGTCATCGTTACCTCTGTCACTTGCCCCTCACCTGCGAGTTCAGCATTTGTGAACTGGCTCTGAAGCCTCCCATCATCTCTAAGGAGACCTTAGAGCTGTTCTCAGGTTGGTATTTACCTTTCTAAAAATCTTGGTAAGGGGGGAATCTTTCCTATCCCTTAATAGCAGGAAAAATTACAAAAGTAGCAGCTTTATTCCTCTTGCATCAACTGGCTGCTGACTGCAAGACAGAACAGCCTTTACTCACTGCTGTGACGACAACTACACAAAGAATAAAAAGGCTTGACTGCTTGCAGGAGTGTATGTAGTTTGTAAGCATGTCTTGTTACTAATATAACTGAGCACATTGTTCACAAAGCTGGAGGAAACATTGCCAAAGCACTGGTGTGGTTCTTTTATATCCAACGCTGCGTGTTGCTCCTAGATGACATTGAGAAGAGGAAGCGCCTGCGGCAGAAGAAGGCTCGCGATGAGCGGCGTCGGGAACGCAGAATTGAGATAGAGGAAAACAAGAAACAGGGCAAGTGTAAGTTTTGCTCGAGTGTAACTGGTGGGTTCACGGTCATCTTTAGTGCTGAGCTGATTTCTTGAGCTGTGGAATGAATTGTAAGGCCTTTAGTTTGTAGTGTGTACTTAGAAATGGTTCTGAGTGACAAAGTGTTTTTAGGGTGCTGAATGATGTGATTCAGTTCCTGCATACTTGTACGTTATTGGAGAGAGAGCATTTGAGGGCACAGTTGTCTCCATCTAGCTCTCGGGATTTTTGACTTCTGTTTTTATAGTAGAAAGTGTAGAAGGTGGGGGGGGAGGAGAGGGGGGAGAAGCCTGAAAGCTGCTTCCATCCAGCAGCAGAGCTTGTAAAATAGAGGATGGAAAGAAAATTTCTGAGGTGGCACCTACTAGCATCCTGAAACAACTTGCTCGACAGTCTTCCCCCACGTTGTGTACTACTTTAATTAAAACCTCTTTCTAGATCCAGAAGTCCATATTGCTTTAGAGAATCTGCAGCAGTTCCCTGCCTTTACCTCTTGCCATAGAGAAACTACCAGCACTGATCATCAGAGCTTCTGTCTCTCTCCTCTTGGCAGAAGCCCTGTGTTTCAGACAGGTGAGCATCTGGAGAAACTTAATACATCTAGCTCTTGGTCAGTTCTCTGGGGATCTGTTGCTCAGGTCAAGCTAAGGTTTCTTAATACTGACCAATGACTACTTTCTTAGGTTGCCTTAAAGATCGTACTGGAATGACTAACACTGCTAAGGGATTTGCTTTTTCCTGTACTGTAATGACAACGATATCTACACTGTAATTACTGCATCTGTTAAATCTTTGCTGACACAGAAGAGAATAAAGGGGACAGAGCTGGGGAAAGGCAGAAATGCATGTGTGCCAGGAACACTCTACTGGCATTTCTTCTATCTCTATTTTCCCCCATGGTGTAGCAAAAACATAGCAAAATATAACTGATAAGCACCCCATTTGTTATCTGGTGATGCATCTCCAAATGTTATATAGTATATCTTGCAGTTCTTAAAAAACATTAAGTAGAGATTATTAATAAGTGCTGTTTTTAAAGTAAACAAAAACAACTCAGAAATGAAACAAAACAAAACAAAAAAACCATCCCACAATCTTTAATTTAAATATTGAGCAAATTCAAAACTTCCCTCTATGTGATCAAGGAATGGAACCAGTGAGAGAAAATGGAAGATAATAAAATCCTTTATTTCTGTTTTGTATTTATGAGCTGCATAAGTGCCTTTGCTAAAATGCACCTGGCTTTAACCAAGTTCTTTTTCTTGATAGATTCTATTCCAACTCCATTTTCTCCTGCTGCCAGCCAGGCCAGCCCGTCACTCTGTGGGAGTTTAGAAGAAGAGTCTCCATTCCCATCCTTTGCCCAGGTAAGAGACAAGAGTAAATCTTGTCAGAATTACTTGTATCTTAGTGGATGAGTCTGAAAACACAATTGCAATCTGGGATAAATCTCAAGGAGAAAATATAGGGTTTGGAGGCTGAATGTATTCCTGGGTTTTCTTGCTACTTAGGGCATAAGCAGGATTGTTCTGATGCATGGGATTTAATCAGATCTTACCACTTTTTTGATAGATGCTGAGGGTTGGAAGGGCAAAACCTGAAACGTGGCCCAAACCTGCTCCAAAGACAAAGGGTAAGAAAACTTAATATTACTACATTGGCTTCTTTACTGTGCATCTAAATCTTAAGGACATTTTGTAGCTTAACGAGAGACACCTGGAGTGGGGGGGAAAGGCATTTGCACTGTGGAAGTCTCACACATCCCTTCCCTTTCTTTCAGATGAGAACACTCTGGCACTGCCTGTGCCAGTGGAGAGCGATGCAGAAAGTGACAGCTCTGACCGCATACCTGTGCCCAGCTTCCAGAATTCCTTCAGCCAAGCTATTGAAGCTGCCCTCCTGAAACTGGACAAACCGTCCACAGCTGATCATTTGTCAGGTGAGGAGGGGAGGCTTCTGAAAATTCTGAAGCAAGAAAAAATGAATATTTCTGCCTCCGGGAGAAGGAAGAGAAGAAATTTTGGGGATCAAAAATCAGCTGCAAAGCAGGTCTGAAAAGTATCAAGTTGTGGTTTCTGAACCACTTGGTTAGGGCTTCTGGTAGCTTAAAGCAGTTATCTTAGAGGGAGCTTAGAAGATCTCAGTTAGCACTGGTTTCTTGTGTGCTATCCCTGTTCCACAAGAAGAATGACAGTGTCTTTTTCATTCTTTACAGAGGAAAAAGGAGGGAAGAAAAGAAAGAAACAGAAGCAGAAGCTACTATTCAGCACCTCTGTTGTTCACACAAAGTGATTCTGCTATTCAAGAGAAGTTTCCTCTCCTGGTTTTCTTTTCATTTTGCTTTGTTTTGCTGCTATAGTTTAAGTATTTAAATTTGAACAGACTAAACTTGTTTTTCCAGGGCTTCTAGGGTGTTTCAGGAGGAAACCATGACAGTATATGTTGAAGATTTCTTTTTTTATTCCAGCTTACCAAATTGGTTTATACTGAAACAAAGTTTTGAAAGATAAAACCCAGAGATTATTCAGCCAAGGCTTCTAGTCTGTACCACGTCAGTTCTTTTGGCCTAGTAAGCAGTATGAAAGTGTTTACATCTGAATGGTACTGCCAGAGTGCTGCAATATTGCCTAAGTGAAGAGGCAGAGTCTTTACCTCCCCCAGAAATGCACGGACAGAAGTCTGTCTGATTGTGAGTGCTGTTTCAGTAAAGCTGTTAAACTGCTTTCTTTGGAAACTGGTTTCCTCTGCACTGGGGCAAAAGAGCTTTCTGGCTTTCAAGTGTTAGCTGCTATCTGTTCTTTTTCTAAAGAGCAAGAATTCCTTCTGTTCTCCTGGCTTTGAAAGGCTTAAAGCTGAGGTGAGTGTAAAGAACTTGGCTACTTGGCTTTGAAGTGACTGTTGCTGAAATTGTGTATTTCAAAGTGCATACTGGCACTGTGGTAGAAGGAACTCCTGGCTTATCTCAGTTGTTTAGCTCTGTTTTAATGTGGGTTGAATGAGGCTGCTCTTTTTTTTTTTTTTCCTTTTGCCAACCATGGCTGACAAATTCTTTGTAACCTGATGATCATCCAGAGCAAACACTCCACCCTAGGGCTCTTGGTAAATAGGTGAACTACATTTTGACGCTGGCTGCTCTTGAATTGGAGGAACAACTGATAGCTGGAGTGTATAGACTCTTTTATCCCTCAGCAAGAAACATGGATCTCTTGCACTGGGATAAAGTTCTGTATCTGCTTGGTTCTGGGATGCGAGCTGATCTGCAGTAAGCACCTCGGCTATAACCATGCCTCTTTTGGACCCCTCCTCCCTCTTTCTTTGGGTGGTTGCATTCTGCACTGCTTGTGGTTTGATTTGAAGCTAATGAGTTAAGTGGTGTGGATTTTGTTAAATAAAATGAACTGTAGGTGTAATGTACCAGTCAAGGCCACCAGTCGCAATAAATCATATGCGCACACTTACAATACTGCAGACTTTTTGAGCTCCAAGTTTGTATCACCACAGTGTCACACCACTTTTGGTAACACGAGCAAGTTTAGCATCATACTAATGCTACAGATTTCCTTTCAGGAAGCTGCTATGAAGTAACACGTAACATAGTGACAGGTGTCTTCTGTTATATTCAGCCCCACCTGTGCCAAGAGCGTTCACATAGCTTTTGAAAAGCTTATGGGCTTCCTTTAAGAAGCAGCCTCTGCCCTCTCTCTCTTCTGTGCTGTGACCAGTTTGAGCAGAGATCCCATGGATTTGAAACTTCTGTTATTAGGTATCCTCACACCACTGACATGTTCACTGGTTTTATTCCTACCTTGAAAAGTCTGTCAGTAAATTGCTGCTTCATGTCAAAAAAAAGAGGCTCCTTCTACAGGTGCTTCCTCCAGGCACCCGAGTACCACAGAGCACAAAAAACTGCAGCTGCGAGCCAGAAAGAGGGGGGAGACTGGGGAGGGCAGGAATGTTTCTATTACTAGGGGAGAACAGAGGAAACACTGGCAAAACATTCTTTGAAAGCAGCTTAATTTCACACTTGGTCACAATTAACTACACTTGAGGGAAAGAGCACAGCTTGTCAAGGGAATATAAAGAAACAAAGTGCCTAGGAGTGGCACACAGCTTGCTGTTAATGCTTCAAATGCACATTGGAAAATTGTTGGTGAGGGCACAGAAAGCCATTAAATAAAAAAAAATTCAAGTATGCAGTTAACTGTTTTCACAATGGTATTGTTTCTTACTTGTAACAGTTATTTTAAGCCATGGAACAGGAGTAACTACTTGAGTGTCTAACCATTATATTGTTTATTATCTCCTACACTGTTACAGTTGAGTTTTCTTTGAGTTGACAAGAAGGAGGAGTTGGAGCTGGTACAACTCACCTCCCTGTCTCACAGGCACTGTCACAAGGGAAGAACGCAGGCAAAGAAGGCTCTCCTGTGTGCAGGGGCAGCCTCTATTGGGCAGATCTTCAAGTTGTGTTTTGTTTTCCAATGGATTCAAGAGATGTGAGCAGCAGTGCTACTTTCCTGTAACTGACTGGTGTAACCTCAATAAATATCTAAGCAGTAATTGTACCTATGAGTTTTAAAAGGGGTTGGGTGGAGCTGAGCCACGTAGTTCCACCTTGTGTTCCCTGTAGTCTATGCTCCTGTAGACAATCAGTGCTTTTGTGACTTGAAACACCAGACAACCCTTTCAAGAACAGCTGCACTGGAAGATAAGGGCAAAAACTAAAGTTATTGCTCTCTGTACCGAGGGAGCATAACTACATTTCTTTCCCATACCAACTGCCTGAAGTTCACTTCTACCTCAGCACAAAGATCACGTTGAGCTTCGCTCCTTTGGAGCAGTCAAAGGTTTGAATCCTGGAATAAAAGAGGCAAGAAACCTACTTAAGCATAATCTTTTGTGGTTTTTTGAATGCATTTTATTTAAGAACACTTGGAAGGGAGAAATGAAATCTAAGTAGAGCCAGGAAAAGCACCTTTACTTGCTTTACTTAACACAGGAGGATACTTGGTATCGCTTTGATGATAGCCAGGTCCAGAACAAAGGCGAACAAGTGCTGCTCAGTCTGTCTCTGTGCCATCCTCCTCCTCCTCCCCGCTCTGCGCCTGCTCTTCTGTGAGGGAGCAGCTCAGCACCGCCTGCCGCACGCTGCGCCTCTCCTCTGCCAAAAGACACAGCAGCAGTGGTGCCGCAGCCCCACGAGCAGAGCCGCGGGGCCGGAGGAACTCACCTTCACTCGTACACTTCTGCAGCAGCAGCAGCAGCTGCCTTCTGTTATACTGGATGAGAAACTTCTGACAGGTTCTGATGGTACCTGCGGGAGGCGCGAAAGCGGCGCGTTTGGAACCGAGCGTTGTTGTAGCACGCGGCATCCGTGCGCAGGCCGCCCTGCCGCCCATTAACGGTACCCCTCCGTCAGCGCAGGTGCCGAGCGGCCGCGCTACGGACGGATCCGTTCCCCCCCCAGGTACCGCACTCACCGCCCACGTGCAGCGTGCGCAGCGCGCAGGGGAAGCGCTGCCCGCGGCCCTCCAGGTGCCGGACGAGCGGCAGCGCCGAGCTCAGCAGGCGCTGGAAGTCCTTGCGGCAGCGCAGCAGCACGGTGCCGGTGTACGCGTTCAGGTACTTCACTGCGGGCCGAACGCAGCCGTCAGCGCCCGCGCCGCCCCGCCGAGCCCCCGCGGCCCCGCCCCGCTACCTGTGAAGGACACGCAGCAGCAGCCCAGCCCGTAGTCCCCGTGCGCCCGCGCGACGGCGTCCCTGACGGCGAGGCCCACCGCGCGGTCCTCGATGCACTGCCGGCACCGCGGGTCCTCCGAGAGCACCTCGCACAGCACGTACCTGCGGGCGGCAGGCCGCTGTGAGCTGCCGGCGGAACCGCACCGCGCCGCCACACCGCGGCCTCACCTGTTCTTGAAGCGAACCATGCCGCCGCCGGGCCCCTCCGCGCGGATGATGCTCATCCAATGAGCGAGCGGCCTCCGCTCACCGCAGCCAATCGCCATGGCGCAGGGGCGGGGAAAGAGGAAGGACTTCCCGTCCTCGCTCAGCCTGCGTGCTGCGTTCCTTCCTCCCGCGGCTGGCTGTGGCTTTGCGCATGCGCGCTGCTTCCCGCGCTTCGCCGCTTTCCTCACAGCCGCCGCGCGGGGGCGCTCGAGGCGCGGTGCGAGGCGTCGAGGGGCGTCCGCGCGCCTCACGGCTCATTGGGAGTGGAAACGTCGCCCTTAACGGCCTTCTGTGGACAAAGCAGTGATAAAGGCAGAGCAATTCCTGTCCTGGGTGTTAAACTCCTGCCTCGTGACACAGGTGCTGCTGACTGCCCGCTCTGCTGCTCCCGCTCTCTCCTGACTCCCCTCCGTCGCCTTCAGGCAGGCGTTAATGAGACTTTCTGGGGAGAAAAGCACCAAGTCTGCTGCGAGGCCTTTACCTGTGTGCTGTGAACAGAGGCAATGTGGATATATGCCAGCCTGTGGTGCAGGTAGCAGGCCTTTCCTGCATTGCTCTGTGCTCTGACAGCTGCCTGGGCTCCGTTCTGTGCTCCCACATCTCTGTGTGCTACCAAAGGCATCGCTCTGTGGGGTTCCCGTGTGGTTTTGCTGTGCAGTGAGGAGCCAGCAGCTGTCAGTGCAGTGCTGTTCCCCTCCCTGCCTTCTGACCTGTTCAGGTTGCTGTCACTGCTGCCCTCCTCGTTTCCCGGTTCTTGCGGAGGCACAGCTGGGGCTGGACGAGCAGCCCGCCTGAGTGCACTGTGCCCTATAATCCGATAGGACATGTGCACTGTGCATGCTACAGGCACGGCCCCGTGCATTGCGAAAGCCTCAGTTTTCGGTCCAGAAAGCTGATTAGGAGAGACACAGTGCAAAGAGAGAGCAGTGTGGTGAGAGAGCGCCGTCCTGCTTCATTTGACGTAGGATATGGCCTTCAGTTCCCTGTTGTTGATTTGGACGATGCGCAGAGCAGCCCTGAGCCACCACAGCTCCCTGCAGACAGCGCTCGTGTCAGCACAAGGCGTGCAGATCTGGGCAGGCTTCACGGTTTGTTGAGCTGACAGCCCAGGACTACAAGATTCTAACACCTCCTCGTTTGTTTTCTTTCCTCCTCGCCCTGTCCTCTGCAAGCTTTGCTGTATTGATTTGTGTCAGTGATTCAAGAAGCAATCATAAGAGACACTGAGTTACATGGCCAAGGTGGGAAAGAACTGTCTCCTGAAATAGGGTTGGAGAGAGAAAAATTTGGAAAATGCAATTTGAGTTGAAGATTGGCTGCAGAGAGCTGCCAAGAAGGAGGATGGGTGTCTCTCCTGCAGACCTAGAGAGACTATATGGCCTTGGAATAGCTTATCAAATAGAAATTATGGAGGTCAGAGTGTGCTAGGGCAGGGGCAAGTAACATGCACTCTAGGTGCATTAGAAATGATTTGTAAAGCTTTTTGAGAACTTTGGATAGAAGGCTCTTAATCAATGTATAAGGAATGATGGCTTCATCAATGATTGTCCTACAAAGGGGTGAGTCCAATAAACTCCTGGGCTGATTTTTTCTGATCTTGGTTCGCATAATGATTTCATTTTGAGAATAATACAGTAAAGGCTACAAATGGCTGATATTAACTGATGTGTTTTAGAGAGCAGGACAAAGCATGTTTCAGAGTCCTTTGGGTCTTGTGTTGCTGTCACTGCCAGACGCTTCAGGGGCCTCAGAGGATTCCCTGTTGAGGTTTTCTTCCATCCATGTCCCGTGGATCCTGCCCAGATGCTGGGTGCCCATGTGGGCAGTTGTAGATTTGGACTCAAGCTGCTGATGCATATTGGGAGGATGAGTTTTGGGAACAGGTGCCAAATTCACCCAACCCAGGCGGTGAACCAAATACCTTACACTTATCAGAAATGGTCGAGGGGCTTTTGAACCTGTCAGCCATGCCCTGCCTGATCTGAAAAGCAGGATGGGGCTAGAAAATGGGGGAGGTTACATCTGCTGTGGGAATGGAGCCCTGGTGTCCTCTGAAGTGGCTCTGTTCTGTTTGCTCCAGATGGGGTTGGCCTTTGAGAGCTGGGCCTTTGGGATCCAGACCTTTGTGTTGGGTTTACACAATATATGTAATCTCCAGATTATGGGCTAAGTCATATTTGTATCGTATGGAATTAATTGTGCTAATAAGCTGCAGTAAACAGTGTGATTGATGTACACCCTTTACTGCATGCAGTCAGCTCTTAGAATTCATAACTTTTTGCTATATTTAAAATCACCAGCATATGCGTTCACTGAAAAGACAGAGATCAGTTCGTGAATCTTCGTCCTTTTTAGATAGGATGTTTGCATTTTGTAGACAAGGAAGCAGAGGTACAAAAGGAATCAACACATCGTTTGTGGTAAATAGCTGTCAGGCTGGAGATGGGGAGCAAGGACACAATGGGAGCAGAGGGAGCCAGCGTGTTAGAGCATACTGTGTTGGAGTCTCAGTCTTGTATGTTGCTCACACATAATGTAGCCAAGTAATTAATTATGTTCTGGAGTAAAATTAGGCGTGCTGGTGCTCCATCCTGGTGATACCACAATTTGATCTTCCTCGCACAGCCAAAGCCATGGCTTTGCTTCCCCCTGGAAGCACTGAGCTGAACTTGCCATCAGGTGTGGTATGAGGGTGACAGCTATGTTTTGTTCCACTGCATGCACATTGCATCCCCAGATAACCCTGTGGTTGAACACAAAACAATCTGCCTAAAATTAAAACTGCTTCTTAAATCCTCTGTGTGATGCTGCCCGAAGCTTTTTGTTCAGTTTATCTTCACAAGGTCACTGACACAGAAGAGTGCATTCTGTAAGCATGTTGGCCTGGAGCCTTTCATGTAGATGCTTTAAAGGAATATTTGGGACGTGTTCTCTCTCACTTTGGTCCCTTCCTTTTACTCTCTCATTTTCTGTATTTCCCCTCCTTCCTTTTTAGCTCAGGAGCCCTCAGATCAATATACTTAGGAATAAAGCTATCCTTTTTTATCACCTTAGCATATAAATGCTAATGCAAATATAATCAACGCATAATGAAAGAATGAAATTTGCAGATTTCTTTGTTGGAACAGTCAAGAACTGTTGGAAACAGTCGTTCTCTTTAGATTAATGGTGACCATGTGCTCTTAATTATCAAATGCAGTAAAACTGCTTCTAAATAGGAAATCTGTGGGCAGCGCCCTTTTTGTTTGCAGCAAGCTGCTGCAAGGAGCAAACAGCTGCTGCTGAGCTCTGAGCTCACTGCTTAAGGCAGAACCTGGAGTATCAGTTCAGCTAGGTCAGGATCCTCTTTTCTCTTTCCTTCCTGCCTATGAGAGCAGAGGGAGCAGCAGGACACAGAAGTTACCGTGTGATCTGCTGTGTGAAGAAACCATACGTAAAGCCTCCTTAACAGGGGTGTTAGGATGGATTAATTATTCTTTGTTCTGGTCTCTGAAGATAAAGGGTAATTTCTCTTAATTACGTTTAATTGAAAAAATGCTTCTTCTCAAAGAACCCAATAGCATTAGCAGGATTTTCTCTTCTTGCCACCTATTGGGGGGAGGACAGCGTTCCATAAGTTACAGCAAAGACTGACATCAACCTCGGAATGGCTCAGAGAGTTCTACTCCATTTCCAGCCTGCACTCGAGAGCAGTACGTTGAGATAGAGCAGATCTCAGAGCATGGCAATGAGACGGGGCTCCTCATCTGTGCTGTGCTGCAAGGCGCTGAGGCAGGAGATGCAATCTGCGAGGCAGCTTTCACTGCTGATGCTGAGAGGCTTTTCATCAGTAAGTTTCCAGGCACCCGTGGAACAACCGCAGATAAAGGAAAGGGAAAACATTTCAAATAAACAAAAACCCTCCGGTGTACCTATCTGTGAAGGAAGCTTCTGAAAGAAAAGCAAGCAAAAACCTGCAAGTCTTGAGTAACCAGCACCTCAGGTGTGGGTCAGTGCTGTCTGCCAAAGAGACAAGACCTTGATGTTTGAATCAGGAGAAGAAACAAAATGTGTTTTTTACCTGGGTAGAGCAGATCTTTGCTCTTTGCTTTTTCTTTCCCCTGCATCCCCGTGTGCAGGGCAAGCCACAGCCCCATCAGTACATCTGCTTACAGTGCCATATGTCGAACAGCCCTTTTTCTACGTGGCTTTGTGTTGAACTCCAGCAGCCTCGAGCAGCATAGGATCAGAGATGCCTTCTGTAGAGCTCTTGTCTCCCTAATGAGAGAGACAAATGAAAAGCATTTTCCAGCACATCCATCACTCTGCAGCTGCGACGCTGAGCGAGAGGACAGGCATCCTGGAGCAACCTTACATAAGGCGTGCCTGCTGCGTGGCTCTGGCAGAGCAGCACGGCGTGCAGGAGGTAAGGCTGGGGCTGGGGCTGGCTGCCGGGGGGCTCAGCTTGTCCTGGTGTCAGCTCGGTGCAAGGAGTGTGTCAGTCACCCACTCGGGGCACGTGGATCTCTGCTCTGCCTGACCCAATCTGCTGGACGCCTCCTCACCGCTCTGTTCCAGCCTCCATCCATCCAGCTGCCCAGCACACTAATTGAAAGCCCCCCAAAAGCAAAGCGGGGTGCAGTATGAAAGTGCAGATTTGAGTGGGGCAAAGTCAATTGCAGCTCTTTGATTTGTGCCATGCTGGCTGGGGGTGCTTGCAGTGACCAGTAAGTGCAAACACATCTCTGGGGGCCATGGCTGCTACAGGCTGAAGAAGACAAACAGCACGGGAAGCATCTGACCTATTTTAGGAAGCTTGCTGGAGCTTCTTGATTTTATTCATTTATTTTTTTTTAAGGACATGTTTGCACCTTACTTAAAGGCTGCAAACATTTGTCACTTTTCCTAACTATGCACACTGTGAAGACAGAAACAAACAAAAAATGTCTTGCTGCATTTGCTAGGCTGATCCCACCAGGTGCCCTGAGGGCACTGGAGCTCGAGCTGGCACTGGGGATGA